CTCACAGGTACTGATATTGCGCTACAGGAGTTGGAATGGCATCTTCTGGCCCTGCACCCTCAGGCGGCGTCTGGGTACATAGTGGTGATATTTCTGGTCTCTATGTAAGAAATATATTTTGTAGGACTATATAACTGATCAACTTGTAATGTTTTTAAAATGGATGAATAATGCATATTGTAGCCAAAACTTTGATTTGTGGGAGTGAACTCTTCATTCTCTTTAGAAGGAATAAAAGGGTACATGAGAAAAAAAAAAACACATTATGTAACCAGAGTTATATAAATATGAGAAACTCATGAATTTCAATATCCTTCATCCTTTCTTCTCCTTCCTCCTATTTCTAATTTGCACCCACTTGGGCTATAAGAAGTACATTTTTTTCCCTTTTGAATTACATTTTAAGCCTGGGTAATATCCCTGTAAAACCCATTCCAAAACATGAATAAACAATTGCTTCTTTTCATTGGTCACCATCCGACTGTGCTATCAAGTGAGATGTGAAATGCCAACTAAGAGGATGCATGTGTTTGACTGCAAACCACACAAATAGGAACATAATCCTAGTGAAACATTGCATAGAAGTTGCAATTTCTGCATTTTGTCAACCTAAGGTGGAATAAAGTTTTAATACAATTTAATGTGGGAAGTGCCCGAAAGTACAGGCGTAACTTGTTTATTGTGCTTTGCAGATATATTCTGTTTTTTTTGCAAATTAAAGGTTTGTGGCAACCCTGCACCAAGCAAGTCTATTGGTGCCATTTTTCCAACGGCGTGTGCTCACTTCATGTCTCTGCATCACATTTTGGTAATTCAAATATTTCAAACTTTTTCATTACTATTATATCTGCGATGGTGGTCTGTGATCACTGATCTTTCATGTTACTATTGTAATCTTTTCTGGACTCCATGATCCACACCCATATAAAATGCTGAACTTAATCAATAAATGTTGTGTGTGTTCTGGCTGCTTGGCTGGCCAGCTGTTCTCCCACCCCCCTCTCTCTCCTAGGGCCTCCCTATTTTATGCGAAACAAGAATATTGGAAGTAGGTCAATTAATAACCCTACGGTTGCCTCTAAGTTTTTAAGTGGAAGGAAAAGTTGCACGTCTCTCACCTTAAATCAAAAGTTAGAAGTGATTAAGCTTAGTAAGGAAGTCCCGTCAAAAGCTGAGACAGGCTGAAAACTAGCCCTCTTGTGCCAAACAGCTATTCAAAGCGTGAGTTTAAAGCACAAGTTCTTGACGGAAAGTAAAAGTGCTACTTCAGTGAACACACGGATGATTAAGAAAGTGAAACAGCTTATTGCTGACGTGGAGAAAGTTTTACTGGTCTGGATAGACGATCAAACCAGCTGCGTCATTCCCTTAAGCCAAAACCTAACCCAGAGCAAGGCCCTAACTCTCTTCAATTCCACGAAGGCCGAGAGAGGTGATGAAGCTGCAGAAGAAAAGTTTGAAGCTAGCAGAGGTTGGTTTATGATGCTCAAGGAAAGAAGCCGTCTCCGTAACATAGAAGTGCAAGGTGAGGCAGCAGGTGCTGATGGAGAAGCCGCAGCGGGTTATCCAGAAGGTCCAGCCAAGATCATTGATGATGGTGGCTACACTAAACAACGGATCTTCAATGTGGAAGGAACAGCCTTATTTTGAAAGATGTCGTCTAAAACCTTCATAGCAAGAGAGGAAAAGTCAACGCCTAGCTTCAAGGCTTTCAAAGGACAGGCTGATTTTCTTGGTAGGGGCTAATGCAGCTGGTGACTTTAAGTTTAAGGCAATGCTCATGTACTATTCCAAAAATCCTAGGACCCTTACAAATTATGCTAAATCTACTCTTCCTGTTCTCTATAAATGGAACAGTAACGCCTGGATGACAGCACGTCTGTTAATAGCATGGCTTACTGGATATTTTAAGCCTATGTTAAGACTTACTGCTTAGAAAAACAGATTGCTTTCAAAATATTACTGCCCATGGACAATGTACCTGGTCACCTAAGAGCTCCGATGGAGATGTGGAAGGAGATTAATGCTGTTTTCAAGCCTGCTAACGAAATACCCATTCCGCAGCCCGTGGATCAGGGAGGAATCTTGGCTTTCAAGACTTATTATTTAAGAAATAATGTCTGTAAGATTACAGCTGCCATAGATAGTGATTCTTCTGGTGGATCTGGGGAAAATATATAGAAAACCTTTTGGAAAGGATTCGCCATTCTAGATGCCATTGAGAAATATTTGGGATTCACGGGAGGAGGTCAAAATAGCAACATTAACAGGAGTCTGGAAGAAGTTGATTCCAACCCTCATGGATGACTTTGAGGGGTTCAAGCCTTCAGTGGAGGAAGTCGCTGCAGATGTGGGGGAGGCAGCGAGAGAAGTAGAGTTAGACGTGGAGCCTGAAGATATGACCGAATCACTTCAATGTGGTGATAAAACTTGAATGGATGAGCAGTCGCTTCTTACGGAAGAGCAAAGAAAGTGGTTTCTTGAGATGGAATCTACTCCTGGGGAAGATGCTGTGAACATCGTTAAAATGACAACAAATAATAGGGGGTATTACATGAACTTAGGTGACAGAGCAGTGGTAGGGTTGAGAGGGTTGGCTACAAGTTAGAAGGAAGTTCTACAGGGGGTGAAATGCTATCAAGCAGCATCGCATGTTCCAGAGAAATCTTTTCTGAAAGGAAGAGCCAATCGCTGTGGCAGACTTCATTTTCATCTTATTTTTTAAAAAGACCAAAAAACACCAGATATGACTTCAGAAAGAAGATTTTGAGTTTATTTGTGAATGGAACCACTTTGGCTGTTCAAGGTGACCTATAAGACAACTCTGACCCACTACCCTAAATCAATCTGAATAACAATAAAGAAGCTAAGAGGAGCGAATGTCCTTCTATATTAAATACTCTGAGTTAAATTATACCAAACACTGTAATTACTGCATTACTTTTAAATAATTCTCTCCATGAGAAAAACCAACAAACAAGGCGAAAGTATAAAAAAAGAGAAATCCACACCTGTAATCCTAGCATGCTGGGAGGCCAAGGTGAGAGGATAGCTTGAGAAAAAAAATAAAAATAAAAATAAATAAAAATTGTCTCAGCCACTCCAATCTTTAGCTGTTATCACTCTCATCATCCGGCCACCACCAACATTGAGTCAAGACCTTCCACTAGCAAAAAAAAAAAAAAAAAAAAAAGACTACTCAAAGCTCAGATGATCGTCAGCATTTTTCTTAGCAACAGAGTATTTTCAAATTAAGGTATGTACATTGCTTTTTAACATAGTGCTGTTGCACCCTTAATAGATCGCTGTGTAATATAAACATAACTTCTATATGCACTGGGAAACCAAAAAAGTCATGTGAGCCGCTTTATTGCAATATTTACTTTATTTGAGGTGGTCTGGCACCAAACCCACAATATCTCCCTGGTGTGCTTGTGTTTTTTGAAAAGCGTTGTAATTGTTGGAGGATCTGGAAACTCTCTGCAATGCCTGCTCATTTTCTCTCTCAATCTGAAACTGTTGTTAGAAAACAAAAGTCCACATTTTTTTTTCTTTATAACATTAAACAAATGTTGTAAAGAAAGACTTTTGTATTTGTTAAAAACACAGAAAGTACTCTTTGTTTTAAATATTTGGATAAACTCTCACTGTGAAGAATTGTGAATGATGAAGGCACAGGCCACTCAATAAAGAGTAATGTTGCCAAAGAAGAAATTGGGGGGGGGGCAAGCAAGGTTGACAGTGTCTTGACAGGTGACACCAGGCCAAAGGGAGTGTATGCCACCTAATGGATTTGTTATATGACAACCTCCTGCCACCAGGTACCCTAGACTTGAATGACTTATATCCGTGTCCTTGTGAACCAATTTCTAGAGAAAATAAATTGCATCTTCTTATCTGGCCAGAAACCATCCTATAGAGCCTGCCTTGACCTAAAAAGTGGAATAGAAACTGAGTGAAAAGCTCAGTGGTCTGCCATAGAAATAAATTTGTGCTTCTTTATAGCACAGAAGAACAGCAAAACCCTTATATGGAGTTCTTAAAGAGACCACACACTTCCTTCTATCATCATCACAACTGAAGTTGTATTTAAGAGCAAAGCCGAATTCTCACTGGGGGTGCTACCATGTTTGGATATCTGGAACTAATCTTCCAGGAGTTTCTATTTGCATACATTAATTAATCCAGAAAATATTCTAAGCAATTGAGCAGAGGATAGGTTCACACTTTGATTAATTTGAGATCCATTGCTCTTTGTGCAATTAAATATTTAAACACTATGCAAAAAAAAAAAAAAAACCCAGTTGGTAAAACTAAAGATACTGGAACAGGCATAATTATGTAGATGAAGCATAAGCGAAACTAATCTTTCATTATTTGCATGTATTTCATTTCTGATGGGATTTAACATCATTGAATTTTAACTTTTTGTTTTCGTCCTGTTGCATGCAAACTGGTAATGTTTTTTACACTTTGTTGTCTTTCGTTTTATTATTGTTATCTTTATTATTTTTCTTGCTTCAGAAGACATTTCTGATTTTTATGTGATCAGAGCTAGCCATCATTTTCTGCAAGTCAGGGACCCCTCAGACTAGGGAAGCGATGGAGTGGGTCATAGCAAACCTGCTGAGTTGGTTTATCCCAAATTTACTCCTGTTCCCTTTGCAGTAGGTTTCTGATGTGCTGCTGCATTCCGCCGGCTGTACCCTACTCTTGTCCCCAATGCCCTTTGGCAATTGTTGGCGTGAGTCCCTGTTGATGGTCCGCCGTTAGAAGCATGGAGCCAGGAGAAACTCAGCACAACACCTGAATCAGGACTGCTTTTTTCTTACCGGTCTTATCCTCACAGAAAAGTTTTATAAATGTCAACATTGAGAGATTGGTTTTTAAGTATCTCGATGAGAACTGTCCTTTATATATTAATAGTTACCCTGGGTGTTCTTTCTGGTACCATTTTGAACCATCCTCATTGGAGGGTGACGCTTTTTTGTGTGTGTGTGTGTGTGATGGTGCATGTCTGTCTGAGTCCTCTTGGGGTGCTCTAATGGCATACCATCAACTGGATGGCTTGTAAACCACAGAAAATTATTGCGCACAGTTCTAGATCTTAACGTTGCTTCTCCATTTAAAAGCACATCCTAACACTGATGGTAACTAACGTTAACCGGAAGCAAGCTGAACTCCTTCCGACCTTAGGGTTTTCCAGGCTGTAGCAAAAGACATCAATGAACCTTGGGCAGCTGCAAAGATAACAGAGGGTTTGACTCTGTTTTTCTTTGGCTGGATCCAGGATATCAAATGTCTCTTTGGCAAGGTCATTTTGGATTGGGGGAAGGGCGTAAGTTGGACAAGCCATAGATTGTGATATTGTCATTGTTCCAATCCGAGTCTGTGATTTTATAGATGGATGCCCCTCTAAACAGACAATGGTTCACCAGTATCAGGGGCTGTTGCCGCCCTTATATTTCTAGTGTCAGGAAGAGAAACTGACTGCCTGCAAAATGCTCAGTGCCCACTGGGTGAGTTAACAACTCTCTGTTTTTCCAAATCGAATGCAGTCTAAGCGTACATCAGCCGTCCTTGGTGTCTTATGGCCTGTAGCGCACTGACTACTTTTGCGGTGGCTCTAATATCTCCTTGTATAAAGCAGTCACTTGCCCTGAGCGTGGCTCAGAACATATCGCACATTAGAGTGAGTTCCAGACGAGACTGAAAGGGTATTAGCCCGGTGCTCCAAAGTAGCAGCAAGTCTCAAGGGCATAGTGTAATTATTCATTTGCTAAATAACACAGACACACAACGGCTTAATTACAGTATTTTGCTGTGAAATAGAATTGTAGTGATTTCCACATCAGACCGTCTCCTTAATGAGGTTTGCTAACTGTTATTGGCAATATTGTGAAAGCCCTCTTGTTTTTAAATCATTTTCTAAATTGCTAATGTCATTTGTGGGAGAGGAAATTTCCCTAACTCTCTTGCGGAGGTGAAACTGCGAGCGCTTCAGAAAATTCTCGATGTTAATTGCTTTCCCGGGTGGCGAGACTGGGGAGTGTGACAGGGCTGCAGTTTCGACACCTTGGTGTGTTCCCACACGCATGCCAGTGTCCACGTAATTGCCAAGCATCGAGAATACGAATATCAGGATTTTCCACCAAGAGTCCGCGAGCTCGAGCACACGAAGGGTCAGGTGCCTTACTTTTGGTCCCAGCTCTGCCGCCAGCTACCTGTGGGACCCTGAGGAAGATGCTTAACACTCCTGGGCCCCAGTCTACTCATCTGTTAATGTAACACAACCAGGTTCACTCATGGAGTCAACAAAGGTTTGCTTAAGCGTTCCGGCCTCTTTTCTAGGCGCTAAGAATCCAGCAGCACCTAGGACCAGACGGAGTTCCTCATCTCCAGCAGCTTATATTCTAGTAAAAAAAAGAGCGTAAGCTTGTAATTGAAAATGCACCTGAGGTATTTCAAGGTAAGTATCATTTGTTTTTAGGCAAACAAAGTTGGGTAATTTAATGGAGTTGTACCTGGGATGTGGGGACTGCAAGGAGGATGGCCAGGGGAAGCTTCTCAAGGGTGGTGACCTGTCAGCACAAATCTGCAGAACAAGAAAGAGCAGCTTTAGAAATCTGGGAAGAAAAACATTCCAGGTGGAGAAAACAACAAAAACAGAAACCTGGGGTAGGAGCTCATTGATTCCTTTCTTTCTTTTTTTTAATAGGTATACATTTATTTATTTATTTTTCCTTTTTAAAATATTTTTTTTATTTCAGCATATTATGGGGATACAAATGTTTAGGTTATATATGTTGTCTTTGCCCCACAGGAGTCAAAACTTCAAGTGTTCATCCCACAGCAATGGTGCACACTGCGCCCATCAGAGTGTAGAATATAACCCATGCCTCCACCCCTTCCCCCCTCCCCTTCTGGCCACGACACCCGGATGAATATTATTACTATATGTGCACGTAAATGCTGATAAGTTAAATGCCAATTTGATGGTGAGTGCATGTGGTTCTTGTTTTTTCATTCTTCCTTAGTAACTTATTTCATTACTATTTTCAAAAGTCATTTCTTGTATTGTTTCACACTGCCCATCATGTTATTTCTGATATTTTTACACTTTGTCGTCATTTTATCTCCCCAAATGGTAAGTAAAACACATTGTGATGTAATTACAGGGTGCAGAGGAGATGATGATATTACATGAGCGACTGAGGCCAAACTTGCCAACTTAGAAACCATCGCTGAACTTTACAACCTTTATCCCCATAGGAGGTAGCAGCCAGTAACATCGAACAGAAAGCATAGATGAATGCACGACTGATGATACCAAAATGCTGGCAGAGAGTGCTGTTACAGAGATAGAACTTTCTGCAGTAAAGTGAATGCTCTATGTCTCTGCTGTCCAATACCATAGCCACCAGCCACACGTGACAACTGAGCTGCTGAAATGTGACTGGCGCAAACGAGGGATTGCGCTATTTTATTTTGTTTTAACTAATTTAAATTTATTTATTTACTTATTGTTTGTTTTTTTTCTTTTTTTATTTCAGCATATTATGGTGGGTAACAAATGTTAGCGTTACATATATTCGTATGGCCCCCCCTCTGCCCCCCCCGAGTCAGAGCGTTCAGCGTGACCGTCCCCGCAAACATTTGCACATCTCACTCATCCGTGTTTGTGTCTACCCATCCCCTCCTCCACTCCCTCAAGCTGCCAAACCACGTAATGTTACCTATAGTGTCCACTTGAGGTGTCGATCCATTATACCAATTTGGCTGGTGAGTTACATGTGGTGCTTTGTTGTTTCCATTCTTGAGATACTTCACTTAGTAGAATGGGTTCCAGCTCTATCCAGGAAAATACAAGAGGTGCTCTATCACCTGTTGTTTCTTAAAGCTGAATAGTACTCCATGGTATACACACACCACATTTTGTTAATCCACTCATGAATTGATGGGCACAAGAAAGTCGGGAGGTGTGCTGCCTGTAGCCTTCTTGACGATGGTGAGTAAAACTAATTTAAATTTAAACGGCCATACCTGGAACAAGGCTACCACACTAGCTATCACAGCTCGATCGACATTTACTTCTAACCATTTACCTGGTGTGAAAGAAAAAGAAATCAATAATCCTCACCATCATCAAGAAGGCTATAGGCAGCACACCTCCGGACTTTCTTCTTAGTATAAAACTATCGGTGGAACGTGTTACCTTTAATGACTTTAAATAGTTACTCGTTGTAATGATAGAAACAACAATGACCACGTGTTAATTGTTCACTGTGGCCCAGACTGAGCTGAGTGCTCAGTGTAATTACCTTTTTAAATCAAACTTTCCTCTGTATTTTGCAGGTGTTGTTGGACATCAACTCAATGTCCGGTCATGTGTCTGTATTTGGTTATCGGCCACAGTGGTGGGCTGATTTGTTCGACTCACTTATACACAATTATTTTTTTTTTTTTTTTTCGCCTTGAGCTGATCATCCCCTTCCCATGAAAGGAGCGTTTTCGCTATCTGGCTCTCGAATTGGGGGTTCAGTGCCTCGCTTTTTGGTTTGCTCACAAAATCGACATAGAAGCGCTGCTGTTTCTGGGCCCATCTCAGAGCCACGGCTTTACAGGAAGACTTGCATGTTCTCACTCATTTCCGTGAACTTCCGTCTTCCTGAACGAGAACAAGGGGAGAGGTCTGGTGGCCGAGGAGGAGGATGAGAAGTGGCCCAGTCACAGCCAACACGGTAGTCGCTCTCCTTCCGGACCCGCGGAGAGAGAATGTTTGTGTTGATTTTCTTGAGTAGCTTTTATTACAAAACAAACAGAAAAAGAGGTAAAAAAAAAAAAAAAGATAAGAGATTGTTGTCTAGATTCAAAAAAGAGCTAAGTATTCATTGTCTGTAAGAAACCACTTTAAAATAATGACATGGGTAGGCTCATGGTCAAAGGATGGGCAGAAAATATGACTTGCAATCACATAATCAAGAGAAAGCTGAGTTATATTGATAGCAGACACAGTAGATGCTAGAACAAGGAAAATTTTCAGAGATATAGAAGGTCAATATATTAGGATACAAGTGTCATTTCATCAAGATATAACAGTAATAAGTAGGTGCATCTACCAACAGAGCTTCAAAATACAGGAAGAAAAAATGGGTAGAATTGAAAGGAAAATATACAAGTCCACAAATGTACTTGGAGATGTCAGTTCTCCTTTCTCGGCAGCCTATGGAACACGTGGGCAGAAAAATTGACGAGGATATAAAAAACCCGTGAAATAGTATCAATCACCTAGACCTAATTGACATTTATGGAACCTTAATAACTTCGAGATCTTGGCTAATTTAATTAATTTCTCTGAGCTTAATTTTCCTCTATAAAACTGAGAAATCTGGACAACCTACTGCAAGCTTTTATAGTGAAGATTACGGATAATGTCCGTTAAGTACCTGGGATATGAAACTTATTTTTCATTCATTCTTTCATTCAACCAGTGATGGATCACCCTCTGAGGGTCAGACACAGAGACAGACACCCACGACACAGCAGAGAATAAGACAAAATAGGATTAAAGTGGACTATGATTCTCAGAACCGTAAGGAACATCGCAGGTGGCCCAGGTCTGTATTCTCAATGCTGCCTGTGGATCAGCCGCACGGTCACACCCCACCATGTCTTTGCTAGTGCCAGGGAATGTCAGAGGGACAGCCAGCTTGCTGCTTTGATTGGCAGTTGGGCCACTCATTCGGCAAACACCCTCAGGTCCTCACTGAATCGCTGCCTCCAGAAAGGCCAGGGGCTTCCTTCAGAGCCGCTGCTAGCTGCTGGATGGGACCCTGGGTCTGGGTGTCTTTGCACCCATTTTTTACAACAATCTGGAAAACTCTAGAATTCAATGAACCCCCAACTCCCCTCACCCTCAGCAGCAGATAATCCAGATTTTTTTTTTGCCAGCATAACTCAGAAGAGCAGAGTTTCTGGATTTTGAGAGCTGTGGATATATCCAAGACGTCAGCATACGTGGCTCTCCATTGGGCTTGGAAGCCTACCAGTGCTGTGTGCACAGGAGGGCAGTGGGCTTCCTGCTCTGGGGTCCCAGCCGTGTGCATTCCCCTGTGTGGGCTCATCCTCATCAGTAAACCAAGACGGCATTGGCGTCACTACGCTTACTCCAGTAATAATCCTGTTGAGAACTGCTCTTGCAGTGTTCCAACTTAGGGTTGGGGCACAGGAAGAGTAGCCGATGTCTCACGAGAAAGCAGATTTAGATACTCTGCCGGAGGCTTTAGTTGGTGCTGGTACAGGCTTCAATTTTCGTCATGTTTGAAAATAATAAATTAAGTTGCACAAGTGATGCTGATCTGATCACCAAATGTATGCCAGGGCAAGGGCTGGGGTTCCAATGATGAAAATAAAAGAGGTGCTCCTCGACTTGGTACATCAGGACTGAATCTTAAACTCTGGTAGAATTCATCTGGAGGTAGGAGCTTAGGAAGTACCTTCAGACAGATCTCCTAGTGGTCACGTTGGTGGCCCAGATGAGGACTTTGGAGTCTCCCTGGAATCCCCTCTCATCCCAGCATGCAGTCCATCAATCAATCCTGCCAGTGCTAACCCAAGATCCAATTACCTCTCCCCCTCCGCTGTGACCACTGGCCCAAGTCCCAGTCATCTCTGACCTGGATCCCCGAAGTGTCCTCATCTCTGATCTTCAACTTCTGCCTTTGCCCACGACAGTCTATTCTCAATACACCAACCAGATCCATTCTGTTAAATGCCCCAATGCCTTTCTTCTCACTCAGACAAAGGTCCAATGTCCCATAAATGGTTCCTAAAGTCCTAAAAGGCTTATCTGTCCCCACTCTCCACACCCTATTGTATCTGACTTCATCAGTTACCTTCCAACCCTGACCTGCTGGAGCAGACTCCACTACAGACTTCCTGGCTGACTTGCTGTTCCTTATGTATTCCAGGCACACTTCTGCCCCAGGCCCTTTGCACCTGCCAACCCCCTCTGCCTGGACTGCTCTTCCTCAGATACCTGTGCGTTTCCTCCCCTCACTTCCACTCCAGGGTTGCCTCCCAGGTGTGGCCCGTCCCCTGTTTACCATGGCACCCCCCAACACTCCCTATTTCCCTTTCCAAGTTTTATTTTCTCACTAGCAGTGCATCTTTTGTTCATTTCTCCTGTTTGCTATTTGTTTTTCCTCCCACCCCTAACTAGACTATAAGCTTCATAATAGTAGTCTTTCTATTTTTATCTGGTTTTCGTCACTTCCCTATTTGCAATGCCTGGAATAGTGCTGACACATATAGACTCTCCAAAAATACTTGCTCCATCGAAGGGAGGGGAGGCTTTTGCTGTTAGCAAGAAAGGATTGAACTCGGAAACCTCTGTCCCCGTGTCCCCAGTCTACCTGCGGTTTGGGGCTGGCTGGTGTGTTGATCTCTGTCTCCTGGTGAAGTCTCGTCATCATTAAGCATCACTAAGTAGCATGAAAGGCCTCAGTCCGAATGTGCAGACCCTCCGGCGGTGCCCGGAGCTGTGTGTGGGACGGAGACCCGCCCCTGTGGAACCCGAGAGGAGCAGGGTGGCGCAGAAGTAGGGGGGGTCTAACAACCCCCTGCCGGGCGCAGCCTCTGTGATCCAGCCTGCCCAGAACATCGCGTGTTGCTCTCTTCTGCCTGGTCCCTGATTTTTAGCAATTCTGTGATACGGAGAGCAAAAACCTCCTTCACCCTTCTTCAAGAGGATGGGGCTGGGGCTGAGTGCTGGTTAGTGACTTGCTGGGGGCCCCACAGGGGGTTTCTGACTCACTTGCACACGGCCTGGGAAGTAACCGTGCACGTCCAGACTCCTGAGATTACGAGTGACAGAAGAGCCGACTCCCAGTGGCTTATGGGTAAAGATAATTATAGGTCATGGACTGAAACGCCCAGGCACTCAAAGAAGTTGAAAATGTGCGCCATGCAAAAAACCGTGCACACGGTTGTTTATAGCGGCTCTCTTCGTAATTGCCAACGCCCGGAGGCCAACATTTGCGCCCTGCGGTAGCTGGCGTGCCTGCCCGGCGTTCAAGCATAGAACAACGAGTGAAGAGCAGATTCATTCCCAGTACCTGGATTCAGGCAGAGGACGTCTGTCTCCAGGTGCCCGGGCACTGTTTGCTGACCGGGAACGAGACTAAACAGAGAAGCCCTGGGAAGTTCCCTACGAGGATCCCGACAGGGAGCTTTTACATGAATCCGGAAAGACGCCTTGGAAGGTGGGTTTGCCCGCGATGCTGTCCGTTGGCGGCTGTGCTCATAATTAAAAACATGCTCTAAATGGCTAGTTTGTAATTTCTAAACTATTCTCCAAACGTGACCTTGGAAAGAAAACAATGGCCTTAGCTGAAAGGCTATCTACCGCTAGTTTCCCTGCCTCAGTGATTTTGACTCCTCAAGAACCCGCGTGTGTTAATTAGCCCTGTGGTTAGGGAGACAACTGTGCCTCCACAACACACAGAAGCGTCCTGGTCAGATGGCTCAGAAAATAATTAGAAGGACAATAAATACAAATTTAATTTCAATGAGGCTATTAAGAGCTGAGACTTGGCGTTTCACTCTGTAGCATTATTAGGTATTAGTCGTGGAGCAAACCATTGCACTGAAACCCGCAATGAAGATAGACCAGCTAGTGGCGTGTGACAGATCCCATTTGCTGGGTGTGTAGTCCACTGCCCTCTCGCCTTGCTAATCAGTCCGTTAAGCTGATGGCGGTTCTTGGCTGGTGGTTGTTTAATCACGTTTTGAACGCAGTTCTCAGCACGTATCAGGGATAAACGGTATGGCTTTTCAACAGAGAAATGACCGAGATCAGGCCATCTGCATGGGATATCTGTGATTTTAAAACCAGCCTGGCTGATTCTGCAGTGGAGGAGCTCAGATGGTAGCATTCAGGGTCCAGGTGAGAGCAGATGGGTCCTAGGTGCCGAGACTTCGCTTCCTTAGGGGAGAGAGGGGTCTGTCTTGGAAGGCCAACCACCACTGCTGAAGTCCAAGGCTGCAGAGGCTCCTTGACTTTGAAGTGCAGACCCGATGCTCTGAGCCCACCCTTGCCGAGGAGGCATCAGAGCACCACAGGCTGGTTAGCTGAGCTCCTGGGAAGGGGAATGCTATCATTGGCTTTAAACTCCTCCAAATACATCATTACCATTTGGAGACTTTCACCTGTACCTTTCCCTCTCTCCTGACCATTTTTGGGTTTTGAGATCCCTCAAAATTCTGCACGAGCAAAGGCGAGTAAACACGTTAACGTTGACAGTAGGTCATTCGGTTCCTCTATGTCTGATTTTCATTTCTCCGCCCACATGGAAACGAACAACCGCAAGAGTGTGGGATGGGCACAGACTGGCTGGCCACCCAAAGAGACACGAGGTCAAAGCCATCTCATCCTGCG